TTTCGTCAGTGGCAACCCCATAAAAAGAGAATGTAAGGGGATATAATATTGCACCAAAAAATTGGTGCTTAAATTTTTCTGTAGGCATATGAAGACAAGATTAATTCTTCACACAATTTCCTGAGTGATCAGAATTTACGAATCATTCTTTCGTCATATATATGTATGATTCTGAGACCAGTCAATCAGACAGACTCCTTTCGGACTATTTCAATACAAAAGTATCAAAGTTCACGTACGAGCATCATATTTCAGACTCTAATATGACTCCGAATCTGGACTCGTATTGGCGTGCTCTTCTAAGAAGGGAAATATGCTCTTTTCTGACTTCTTTCCGATATTTTTGAGCGTGATATTTAAAACAATATTTTTTAGTATTCGTCATTTTTATTTTTTTATTTTGTGCTTCCATATATTTAGAAACGGCAATCCTTTACTTTTCGAGGGCGATCTACAAAACGAGCAATCAGTTTTGGAATGGCTTATTGATGATGACAATCGTGAATTGGCAGATGAAATTGAAGAAGTAAACGAACGCATGCTGGAACGTTTGATGGCCGAATCCACATTATTGGTGGTGTTCTTTTGTGAGTATCGATAGCACGTGGCCAACAAAAATGACAATAACCTGTAATTTATATTTACAGATGATGAAGATTGCGCCGAGTGTGAAGAAATTCTTGAAGAACTTGAAGAAATCGATGGCGAAGCTGATATGTTTGGCATTGATTTTGTGAAAATTGCTAGCGTAGAAGCGGCTAAAAAATACGATGTTGTGAATATACCATCACTGGTCTACTTTAGGTGAGTACAATTAAATAGTTATGAGTCATCTCTAAGGAATCTAGCAAATGCTGTAGTTCAGTTCGTCTCCACAAAATACCTTGAGGCTTCTAATATCTATGATTTTAGACATTTTTTAAACCTTAGCTTCGAGGTACTAGCGAATATCAAAGATCTTCAAAGTCTATCAATTAATTACATACATGGTGGAGTCAATAAGCCTCAAAGTAGCTTAGATAGAGACTGACAAGAAGGTCCAAAGCTAACCATGTGCATAGCGCTCGTAATTTGAAACAAACTTGTAGCTATGTTTTTTCATTGCACTGTATACGGATAACACGTTAAGCACTGCATTAATCGCTGGGAAGGAAGTAGTCTTGAGTGTCCCATTGATGTCACTATCCACTGATGGACTATCCTTTCCACTTTATCCAGCTGCTTAACCTAAACATATCGTCAATTGTTTTATGACGGCCTCCACATTTTTGGGGTTGTCACCTATAGCCATACGGTTTAAGATTTTTGAATAAGCGCCTATAGGGTACTTAAAAAATTACCTATTTTTAGATAGTTAGTCTTAGCTAAGAGCATTTTTTAATTCTCTATTATATCCAATGTACTTCTAAAATTATTCCGAAAAAATTCCAATTCACTTAGTAACATTAATTTTCGTCTATTACACTTTCAGAAAGCAAGTTCCTGTATTGTACGATGGTGACTTACACCAACATGACAAGGTTATTACATGGCTGACTTCGCAGGATGTTTTCGAAATTAAAAATGAAATTGAGGAAGTCAATCGTAAGATGTTGGATAAACTACTCGAAGAAAATGAATTCATAACGGTATTCTTTTGTAAGTGACTAAACATTGCTGAACATTCAAAATAGAAACACAACATTTTTATAACCTCACTTTTTTGTTTAGATGAACACAATCAGCAAGATAGCATAGCCGCATTGGAAAAACTTGAAAACATTGACAGTGAAACGGATAATCTGGATATAACATTTGTGAAGATGGCCGATTCGCGCTATGCCAAGAAGTGGGGCGTTACAAAACTGCCAGCTATGGTCTATTTCCGACGAAGGTTCCCCAGCATTTATAGAGGTACATACATTTACGCATCTAATCTATTAGTAACACCTTATCAAATTTAATTGACTTTGATCTACATATGTATGTATGTACCTTGCAGGTGACCTTCTCTCTGAAGATGAGGTTTTGGAATGGTTGCGCAAGAATCGTTTCCGCCAACCAGAACTGAATATATTTATGTATGCGCTAATCGCATTGGCTGTTGGTTTCTTACTATACACTGCCTTCCTACTGCAATGCTTTAAACCAGCGCCACCACCACCACCGCAACATCCCAAACAGTCGTGATAAAATTCTATAATCTGGTTTAAAAGAAAATCTAGCTGAATTAATGCTGCGAATAAATCATTGCACTGGAACAAAATCATGAAACAACTACAACAACAAGGAAACTAACTATGTATAAAAGGAATGCAAATTATCACGAATTATCATCCAATGACGACAATCGTCTAAATTAGACGTGAAACGAATTTGAGAAAAACAACAACAAAATAAAATAAAAATATGGATTACAAAGAGCCGAAAGCGAACCCATATTACCGTTTAAAAGAGAGAGAGAGACATAAAAAGCATCGATGAATGTAATTTGGGAAAAGCTATTGGTTATATGAAATTTTATAACTGTAACTGAACTATATACATATATATAATATTGTAACAAAGAACTCAAAACCACGAAACCGTCAAAAGCTAAACCGCCGCAACTTGAACCCAAACGGAAATGAGATTTTATTTATTTGTAAAATTAGACAAAAAAAAAAAACAAAAACTTTTTTCGTTAATTAACGACTCTCGATAAAGAAAAAAACAATATAATTTATAAAACAAACTGTAACAAATCATTTAATAATATATGTACGTATCTGCTACACTTATTTACATACATACATACATATGAGCATACATACATACCTTCGACTTAAGTCAAGTGTAATTGCGCTTGTTAACTTAATGAAATATTTTTTTGCTATAAAATACAAATAAAATAAAAACTTTTGGATGATAAGAGCGGAGCGGTTTTTTTCGTTCATGCAGAGAGATTGGCAATTGAACGTTTGAAAGTAAAACCTGGACATAATTTTTTTTTTTTTATTTAAAAACAAGACACAAATGGACATGAACATAAGGATTGAATATACATTTTGGGCACTAAAACATAAATTTATGATAACGTACATATGTATATGTTTTATAATTTACAAGCTGGACAAAAATTTCGAATTTTGGACGTCTAATAGCTGAATACCAGTTTGGAAAAATTTAAGAACTGTGAATTATATTTCGCAAATTAGAAACTAGATACAAATCGTCGTTTAAAGTACAAAACCGCGTATCAACAAAATGCCAAATTGCGTATGAGGGGTTACATAAATTATTTTCCAGAGAGTAGAAACACTCATATTTCAAAATGGTTCCCTTTTTTATAAGGCAATCGCATTTCTGGCTAGTTCTGGTAGAACGAATTGCTAAGGATTGAGCCAAGACCTTGTGTTTGCAAATCCAAATTTTGACAGCAAATGTCAGTTACGCGGTTATGCAGTTAATCCTACTAAATAATAGTGAAAATAATTGCATAAACATATGTGCATTATACATATGCCTTCCGTTTTATATTTCATTATAGAAATAAATCACTAATATCACTAACAAAATATATTTTTAAATAATTTTTGAAATTTTAATTATTTTTTTTAAGTAAAAAACCTTTTTTTAATTTCTTCTAAGAATATGGTAAGTAGCTTTAATTGAAAAGAAAATGTCAAAAGCACAGTTTACGTCAAATGGGAGCAATGGCGAATAAGAAGATCATGATCTGTCATATACTACGTTTATACGCACAGAATAATCGACTTAATTGAAAGCGCATTGACACCGTACACATTTCGCTCAAGTGTTTATACTTACGGCTTTATATCGGCATCAAAGTAACCGTCTTCAAAAGCAAACAAAATAAGCTGTTTTCATTTGACATTTTATAAGTTAACATAATGGAAAGTGATAAAAATCTAGTTTTATTCGGCATTATATACTACGTTTATACGCATGCATAAGTCGCTTTAATTCATTTCGCCGCGATTCAAAACATATGTATAAACTGAATTTCAATTCGCTGTGAAAGAGCGAAGTGCTTTGGCTCACACTCCATTTCAAATCGGTAGTTTATTTCTCCAGACAGTTAGAAAGAGTGTATAAACACCGCTCTCACTCAAAGCGAATTGGAGATCAGCTGTTCCGCTCAAATTCCAAATAATCGCATCAGTATTTAGAAGCTGATTAATAATAATCGTTCTTTTTCTTTGCCACGATTTTATAATGCCGAATAAAACTAGATTTTTATCACTTCCCATTATGTTAACTTATAAAATGTCAAATGAAAACAGCTAATTTTGTTTGCTTTTGAAGACGGTTACTTTGATGCCGATATAAAGCCGTAAGTATAAACACTAGAGCGAAATGTGTACGGTGTCAATGCGCTTTCAATTAAGTCGATTATTCTGTGCGTATAAACGTAGTAATAAAATCGTGGCAAAGAAAAAGAACGATTATTATTAATCAGCTTTTAAATACTGATGCGATGATTTGGAATTTGAGCGGAACAGCTGATGTCCAATTCGCTTTGAGTGAGAGCGGTGTTTATACACTCTTTCTAACTGTCTGGAGAAATAAACTACCGATTTGAAATGGAGTGTGAGCCAAAACACTTCGCTCTTTCAAAGCGAATTGAAATTCAGTTTATACATATGTTTTGAATCGCGGCGAAATGCATTAAAGCGACTTATGCATGCGTATAAACGTAGTAATAGCTTTGGGAAGTGAGTTTTTGTTTGCTGAAAATTGCTTGTCTGGACGTATAAACGCAAAGTAAGCAAACAAATTTTAATGCTCAATTTGGTTTTATTTTCAAAAAACTTTTGCCTATCAAAAGCTGCATAAAACCAACCAAACTACCAAAGGAAAATGAAGCTATCAATGTTGGTCCAATTATACCAAAATGGCAACGCTGGGGGCAAATCATAAATGTACATATCTATGCAATTACTCTATAGCAAAAGGTTAGTTCTAGTAAATGATTAATGGGCATACCTAAATACCTGTAATCGTGATCTGATAATTTTGATAAAATTTTGTGCGAGAAAGAAGGGCTTTGTACCATAGCAGAGGTTGGGTGGAGATGAACTGCCCATTAACCAAATTATGATACGTCTTTCATATCCAAACTCACGCGAATAGTCGGGAAAATATCGCACGTTCTCCTAAAAGTTTTAAAACACCGTTACACTTATTCCGATACCTGTTCTAATTCTAAAGATATTAGATTTCGTCACAAAATAAGCTCATATTCCACATTGTGGTCCGCGCTCCTATCTAGCGGAAGAAAACAGAAATGAAATCCACGCATGCCAAACCTGGCAACTTTATTAACTTGCTTGCGTACGCTCTCAAAGTACTTCCAGAACTGGTTGCCTCTTCCCACATCATAATTGAGAAAGAGGGTCCACTGATTAATGCAAGACTCATCTTAGGAGACAATGAAGAGGATACGAAGTTAGTACACCCATCCACTCGCAGGGGTACAGAAAAAGGTAAAGGCCTTCACTCTACTTTCGTGGAGTATATCTTCCTCATCTGGTTACTAATTGCTCTAAGACTAACCATGGATGTGAGCACGGTTGCCGTTTTGGTCCAAATGAACTAAATTTGGCCCATTTCTTTCCGTTTGGTCCATTGGTCCAATTATTTTTAAAATGGTACATTTGACAAGCCTTTGGTTAAGTTGTTATCTATCACCCTTTCACTTCATGCAATAGTTTCGCGTTTTCAATTTTTTGTATTTAATTGATGAATATTCCGCCCTACCTTGAATACGTCATCGTCAGTAAAAGTGACGACACGGCCATCGTCAGTCATGTCGTCGACGATGTCGATGCTAAAAGTGTGAACTTGCTTTGCCACTGATCTTAAAATATGGCATGAAATTTTAAGAAATAGCATTTGCTTAGGTTTTACGCATACGGTTCAATATTTTCGTTTACTTTAGTATTAACTCTTTAACGGCCTTAATGATAAACTCCTGTAAATTAAGTGCCGTTGACAAAAAGAATGGAAAGGAAACCTCGAAAAGGAAATGAGGAAATACACGCCCACATGAGGCACGACACTCAAATAATGACAAATGGAACGCCTTATGAGAATGGATGGGAACTTAATAAAATTCTTAAACACCCTGATGAAGGCTTCATTACTCAATACATGGTGGCATCATTAGCGTAGTTAGAGGACAGGGAAATTAAAGGGTTTTTTTATTCAACCCGGCGTGGAGCTATCTATGCCACTGCAATCCACCAATTGACGCTTTTA